GGAGAAATGCAATTTTCAATTCGATTTCTTTGAAAAAGTTTGAGTACGCAGTATTGTAGCCCATTAAATTTTTGTATAAAAAATATAACAAAAGTGCAAGCTCGCTAAAAATTACCATTTAAAAAAAGATTGTGTTCCTGCGTTATAAAACGAACGCTGGAAACAGTGCTGCAATTTCAGCAGATTTGAAAGATTTCGAAAGAGACTATGATACTGGACGAGGACGTATGTATGTGTCCTTAGCATATTTTCCCGCATTTAATTTTTTATATTTTTAAATAATTTTTGAATTGAATTTGAGCAAGCATCGAATATTGTCGCCAGATCATTGCAACTGAAAGCTCAGCGAAATTCGAAATAATTCACAAACAAAGAGCCAATCTGAAAAAAACGAAGCGTTCATCGCTCTAAATATGAAAGCAAATGCAAATGTAAGTCAGGTTGTCCAGATGATTTAAAAAAAGCACAATTTCGGAAAAGAAATCGCCAAAAATCGCCCTCTTTTTTTTAGTAAAATCAATGAAATCGACTTAACAAATCTTTTAGTTTAAAAATGAGATTTGATTTGCTGCGTTTTGCAGCAGAAACTATTAGCCTTCATACCACATTTTATTCGAACTATTGAATTAAGGCTGTTCAACCTCATCCTATTTCGAATCTTAGTTTTTGTTGAATTCATTACGGAAAAAGCGCGCTCAACAAAAGCATTTGAGTGCGGCAAGGATAATAATATGAAGGCTACTTTACTTATATTTCCAAACATTTTATTGCCTGTTGCGGTTTTCACTCCGTAAGCAATTATCCCAGATTCTTCAGAGTCGAATGGAATGCCATTCCGAAAAAAGTTATTCCATGGGAAAGTTTTAAAAGATTTAAATATTCAGTTTCCGCTGCTTCTCTTTCCTTCAAATTCAAATAGTGAATTGGCAGGTCGCTGAAACTCTTGTAATTCACACACTTTTCTGGTGTCGAAATCAAAGTTTTTTTAAAAGTATTTAATTGACTAGGTAATCGTTTCAAAAGTTCTTCGATTAGGGTAATTAAAAATTGTTGACAGTTTTTAATATGCTTCTTAAGTCTAGTTTATCACGCAGTTCATTAGACTCTTCTGTAAAATTATAGTGCAAAAGTAAGTTTTGTATATTTTTATAATTGGAAAAAATTTATTTGAAGGGAAAAAAACGCCAAAAATCGCCAATGGCGATTTCGAAAAATTTTTACGTGCAAATATTAAAAAAAATCGCCAAATTAGCGCTAAATCGCCAAATCTGGACACTCTGATGTTAGCTCACCCAGTATTGGGCACAACTGAGAATTTTTCCGAAATTGGACTATACAAAAGGTTTCTAAATTGAGTTATATGTAAATATATACCGCAATCGAGAAAGTTTTTAATGTCTGTATTAATCTAACCTCGGGCGAATTCTCGAATTCGAATATGTTTGGGAATTATACACATCGTCGATGTTTTTACAAAACCGCCCATCGGCCAGTTGCAAAACCACCTAAATCGCCGTTGAAGCAAAAATGAAATTTGAGGTAACCCTGAACTCCAGACATCGATATTTATACCGCCTATCAAGGCAATGCCTTCAAAGAATAAACCGTTTTTTCGCTCTCCTGTAAAATTTGAGGACCGGTTTTGCAATTGGGCGATGGGCGGTTTTGCAAAAACATCGACGATATATTTTTCTTTATTCCATATAGAATGGCAATATCTAACACGTTTGTTTCTTTGTAAATTCATAAAAAAAAAAACTTGATAGGAAAACAAGTTCTTAAGTCCGAACGTCTTTTAAACGTGGTATTTTATTAAAGTAAGCTGAGTGGTTAAGGATGCGGGCTACCCCTCCGGTAACCCCGGAGTGTATTTCTGCCTTGAAAAGGATTCTCTATAAAGCCATTTGCCATTCAAAGTCAGAGAAAAACTCTAGGTCACTCCATATGTGTTATAACATAATTGTAGTGAGCAATCTACTAACTTTCTTACAACTCTGGATTTTGAACAAACATGAGAATGGAATTTCTTCGGAATTATGTTGGAATAGAAAACGATTTGAAAGAGAAAACTGAATTTTGTATTTCTCCAGTTGTTATATTTTTTCAGCAGCATTGCCCAAGATTATAATGTTTGCTCTTGTATGCATTTGTTTTTGCATCAACTCAAAGTTCAGCCAACTACACAAACATAAATGTGTTCAGTGCACCGAAGCTTTCTTTGTTGAATCTAAGGCTAAAACTAAAGTTTCAAAAACGGAAAGTGCCAGTGAACGCCTGAGTACCTACACCGTGAAAACTTTTAGTGTGCGTGCGAAATGCCAACCATATTCTGCACACCGCCATACTGAACATACTTCGAAACCTTGAAACTTTTACAACTTGATTTTTACTCTGCAAATTTAAGCATTTAAGTTGCTTCGAAAGTCTCGAATGGCAAGGAGCCTTAAAACTGTTCCACTACAAAAATCAATATTCCACACCCTCGGCCAAGGCGTTGCTGTGTAATTACGTCAGTTGAGAAAACGAAAAAAGGTGCTAAATACAAATACAAATCTAAAAAAATCACTGCAAATACATACATAAGCAGAAAACGTTTCATTATGTCACACAGCTCATGACATTCGCTTTACACCCGCATTCCCCGTTCAACGGAATCTTATTGCTTTCTTGCATTTCCCATGGCAGCGGGTGGTATGAGAAAATCAAAGCATTGTAACAAAAATACAACAAAAGTTACCAACGCGCACACACTTTTAAACGCCCTTAAATCAGAAAAAAAAAAACTACAAATGTACTATACATAAGTATGTATGTGGAAATTCCCATAAGTATGGCATGCGTTGTTGACATGCTAGGCCATCCGGGACGTATAAGTATTTTTTAATAAAATTCCTACGCTTGATCGTGCCGCACATGCACGCTAGTGGGCGTTTACAAAACTCTTCTCCCCTCACTTGCATTGCATTTTATCTACTCACGGACATATGTATGTATGTACAAATTCATATGTATATCAGCAAAATAGAGTACGTATGTGTGCGAGTACGCGCCCTAACCAACTGAGTGGTTGACTGGTATCGAGCTTATTTAGCTTTCAACTGTTGAGAGACATGTTGGTGACGTTGACGTCGGCAAGCAATGCTTTTAATGAAAGTGGCAATGAAGCATTAAATATATATAAATATGTCTATATATGTATAATAATGAAACAGATCTTACCAAAGTTAAGAATTACTAGGGGAGAATGTATTGCGATTATTTTCTTTCCGTTTTAATTTGGTATTCTGAGGAGAAATGTATAAAAAATTCGCGATGCAGCTTAGAGATTTGGAAAAAATATACTTACATACGATTTAAAATCTGTGAAGTGAGCTGAAGCTTAATGTATTCCGTGGTTCAAGTACGTCGTATTATCTAATACTGAGTGACAATGAAGAATACGCTACAATTGTACTACCATGCGTTGTTTGAAAAATCTTGAAAAAAAGACATTCTAAGCATGGTCGGCCTCAGCGCCCCGCCCGAGCCGTATCATTGACACCGTTTTTTTTTTTTATTTTACAATATGTTTAGTGAAAAGTAAATTAGTTAATATAAAAAGCTTTTAAAACAAACTTTCAAAATATATATATCTCCAAAGAGCTCGACTCCTACGCCACCTACCGGTGAATTTATTTTGTGCAGTATTCCTTTCCATGTAAGTAATATACAGTTATTATATATACAAGCAATAATGCAGGTTTTCGAAATATATCGACCACGCGCCACCTACCGTCTACGTTTTTTGTGAAGTTATTTACTTTCATGTTGGTAACATACGTTATCTGCACTTTCCTACCTAACTACTTGTAACTAAACCTTGTGAGACTGAGGCCAAAATGAGTTTTTTTAGGTGCAGACCCGATGGCTCCCAGTCCTTATCTGTGGTAGACCTCACTGGCACTCGGCGGGTGAGTCACATACTTTACGCTCCGTCTTGCATGCAATGTTCTCAGAAGAATAACTCAAGTCTGATGAATTATTATAAGATAGATATAGCTTTTTTATGATTTTGATATTATTAAATCTTATTTACAGTCACAATCAGAAACACTTATTAAATAAGCTCTAACGGGCACTTAACTAACGATCGTTAAATATTCTAGTTAATGTTTTCTCTCAGAGTTAAAAGTAAGTATGTTCCAAGTTACGGCCTTTTTTTTTGTGGCTTAACTCACTTTTTACTTTCAGTTTGATATCAAACATAAAAATAAGTATTTACATATACCATTTTCCGCGCGCTCCCTCAGCAGTCGCAATGGCTGACTGAGCAGAGCACTGGCATGCTATTCAAAAGATCCGAGATCGATTCCTCGGGCAGGAATGATTTTTTTTCCTTTCTTTATTTTTTATTTATTATTTTTAACCGACTTCACAAAAAGTAGAAGGTTATCAATTCGTCGGAATATATTTTTTTTATGTACATATGTTACCGCATAACTTTGGCCCATAAAACCAATATATCGGATAACGACGGATAACGTATCTGCGGGTCTAATAAAATTAATAAACTGGCAGCCACTTTAAAAAATATTTGTGAAATAAAAATTTCTAAATAAATTTTACTTGTTCATTAAACTGATTTTAAAACTAAAAATAAACAGGTCGCAGCCTTCGCAAAGAAAATCGCTCGTGACACATTTTCGTTTGATCCCATTAAAAATATGTATTTTTGAAATAAATCGCTTTGGAACCCATTTCGATCACATTGTTGTAGTATTATATTTAACTTATTCATTAATAGATTTTTTAAAAAGGTGGCAACCGTCTTTGATAAATATCCTATATGATAATCTGAGCTATACCCTATCTGTATGCGAAATTTCATTGAAATCCGTTTAGCCGTTTTATCGTGAAAGAGCAACAAACATACTCATGCACTCACCTACTCATTCACAAACCTTCGCTTTATTTCCTATATCTAACCAATAACAAAAATTATTTGTTCATTTTATTTCTAGCACCTCCTGAGTCAATAATAATTCTGGACAGTAAAGGGGCGACGATAAAAGATTACAAATTGGGTCCGTACAACGAGGGATCAGTCATCAATATAACATGCGTAGCGGTTGGAGGTAAGTTGTTAAGCTAAAAGATTTCTCAATAACTGTTAGCATATGTGCATATTAACTACCAGTTCCGTTATTCCCGTATTAGTATTCTTCTTCTTGTTCGTGCTCATCTTCGCATTTGTGCGAAAGTTAGCTAAGACTTCTGAAACACCTGGCAACCCTCCTGAATAAAGTTAAGAAATAAACAATTATCTTGCTTCTGATATTGTGATACCTACATATGTATTTCACGAGCCTGATGAATTAAGTTAAATTTGATTTTTTTAAATACGTGACAACGCTTCTAAAAACAATTCAGAAATAAAACCTTTTTAAACCCATTTCGGATTTTAAACCCATAATTTTAATAATTGCTTTAACTTATTAAATAACTTGAGTTCACCTTTTTAAACAGATGGCAACCCTCTTTAATATTCTAAATATTCAAACTAAGGATATCTTATCACCTTCGTTTCACTTCATATTTTAATATTTCATTTAACTTTTAACTATCTTACGGCACTTAAATATTACAGGAGAGCGGAAAAACGGTTTTTCTTTAAAGGCATTGCTTTGGTGGACGGCATTTTCTCTGGCTATAATTTTACAAATCTGTTGTTTTAATAACGATTCTATGATTTTTATGCATAAATTTCGATGTCTGGAGTTCAGGGTTATCAAATGTCATATTTGCCACAACGGCGATTTAGCCGGTTTTGCAACTGGTCGATGGGCGGTTTTGTAAAAACATCGACGTTATGCATACTTTAATTAAATTCTAATTTTAAAACAGGTGGCAACCCTATTCACAATATTTCAGAACCAAAACCTTGATTCCCTCAATTCAAGTTGAATTTAATTTATAAAACATGGTAACCCTCTTAAGTCAAGTTCAGAAAAAAAATCCTAACGCATGTCAATTAATACTCATACATTAATAATTTATTGGATTTATTAAATAATTTGCGTTTAAATTTTTACACAGGTGAAAATCCCCTTTAATGTTATAAATGCTCAAACTAAATATTTCTTAATACTCGTTTGTTTGACGTATTGCAATATGCCATAGAATTTAATTTTATTCGACTTTTCAAACAGATGGCAGTCCTGTTCAAATTATTTTTAAATCAGAACTTCGTTAAAACTTTTTCGTCTGACACTTGTATTGTGATACATATTTATATTATGTAATACTCTTAATTCAAATTGAATTTAATTATAAAATCAGGTGGCAACCCTCCTACATGCAGTTTGGAAATAAAGTTTCTTCAAAGCAATTTTGATTTATACTCATATTGAAGTCATTTATTTAACCTATTACTTATATTAACTTTGTAACAAGGAAAAAACTTGAGTTTTTGATTAAAGAAAACAAAACTAAAATCATTTGAGAAGTTTTCAAGTATATAGGTAATAAAAAAATTTGCTAATTTTTTCAAAAATTTGTTTCCTTAAAATGCTCAATATTTGTTGAATTTATATAAAATTTGTACAGGATAATATTTCCGTTGCTCCAGAGAACCAATATCCCAAAATGAAAGTTATATATTCAAATCATAAGTTGCTAGAGCACTTCAAAGGCTCAAAATTGACCCCAAAATAAGCCAATATTTACCGTTGCTCCTACGACACAAACCGAATTAGTTACTTACAAAAATGAATCTGTCGATAGGTTTGGAATTTTATCTTTGAATCGCCGCACTTTTCTTTGAAATCCCTTCAGGGGTCTCCAGCAATAAGCGTTTTCGTGAAGCTCTAAAAATTAGAAATACAACATTTGAGCAGAGCCTTCATATTGAAATGTAAGACATATTCTACGTCAAAACCTTCCCGGAATTCGTGGATGGGCAACCAAAAGAATATTCTTTTCACCGGTTTTATATGGTGCTAAAGGATGGCGCTTGTTCCCAGTACAAAGATTTTAGTTCATCGATGCATTCTTGTCTTGTTAATCCACGTCGAAAATTGTGAAAATTAATCGTACGAAAATCTTTATGGTTTAATTGATTTTTTATTTTTTTGCTGAGATGAATATTTAAAGCCACTTTAAACACCTGAGGGCGTTTAAGGAAAAATATACCAAACTTTTCAATGGAACCGTCAGATGCCGCCTGATAACAATAGAAGCTTTTAAGGTGAAAGATGTTAATATCAACCCTCGTACATATCTATGTAATGAACAAATCTATAGTGAGTTCTACGTTGCCAATATCACATATAACAGAGCCACCATGTAGAAAATATAATTGGCGCCATCAGCGGAGCGCTAACCCTTCGTCGATTTGACAGCATTCACCTATTTGTTGACGTTGTAAAATACATTTTGGCAATTTGGAAAAGAATTGAATTTTTAAATTGTACTTATTTTCCGAAAAAATTGTTACTTAAAAGTAGGCAAATGTACCTAAAAATTAAACATGGCAACCTCTTTCTTCGGTACTATGTGTACTTTTGAACTCACTGCAAACAATCTTTAATATTTAAAATTCCCTTGAAAGGAGTTTCTCCGAGCAGTTCCAGCCAAAGTACTACATATGTATATGTAGGTATTCACCAAGTTGAGCAAGTGGCCTGGCACTCTGGCAAAAGAGGAGATTAGCTCAAGCAACGACTGTTGCCAGAGTGCCAGGCCATTTGCTCAATTTTGTGAATACCCCTTTTATTTTAACCAATGGTTATGCCTCAGGGAATCCATACCTCAAATGGTGTGGTTGTACCGAATAAACGATTTAATGTCTTACGCTAGGCGCACATTGCATCCGATAGGCCGACCTTTTTCGGCCGAGCAATTTGACCGTCCGAACTGATGCGCACACCTAATCAGATTATTTGCCGGCCGTATTTGTACACACAAATCTAGTTTTCATTACAATTTTGTGAGCAGTGAAATATTTTGATACATTTGAATTGATATACTCTAAACATGTGATTTTATATGTATTTTTTTTTTTGTTTTTGCACCCAATAAGTTAATTTTTCGTAGTCCATTTTGGTATTTTCCACCTGACATCGGACGAGAAAAACAAACATGTTTGAATTTATCGTCACTGTCGGACGTCAATGGCCGATGTCGGTCCGGTTATCGCTTTATGTTGAGAGCGCTCATATAATCACAAGTGTTTATTCATATCGCCCCCATATAGCCGATACCGGCCGAGCACAATTCAGCCGATTCCGGCTGCAGTGTGCGCGTATCGTTAGCCATTTCAAATTTTAACAAAATGTGATGAAATTCATAGTCAACACTGTACCATGCATACTTCTCCGTAGAGAAAAAAAAACTCTATTTAGCTTGCCAAATAGAGCATAGAGTTGTCGCAAAGTTACCGATCTAGCAGCGATGGACTGTATACACGGCGAAAAAGTCTTGCTAAATAACTCTCACGTAGACTGTGTAGGTAAGTCTCTCGTAGAACTCTATTGAGTGTTTACACGTCTCTAGCAAGATTTTTGTCTAAGTCTCGCGTTTTTTTCTCTACCGTGTATGCTTAGCTTAACGTCGCTCTACGTAGCGGTATTAGTTTTGGGGGGATCGCAAATTTTGCTATTAGAAGCGGTTTTGTTATCCAGAAAAAGATGGTGTGCGTCGATTTCCATATTTTGTATCATATACAGCACACAGCATTACGTGCTGCTCAGCGGCGGACTTATTTGGTCCGAAGCCTCACTGATAAAATTCAATCAGTTGTTTCGTGAGGAGCTTCAATATTTCGCACAATATCGTCGACAAGACGTTGTTCGCCATATTGAGTAGGCTTGCTCTGCGATAATTGGCGCAAAGACGGGGTCTCCCTTCTTGTGGATTGGACAAAGTACACTAAGATTCTAGGCTTCAGCCATTAATTCATCTGCTTAACAGCCAGAATGCCGTCGGCTCCGGGGGCCCGGTTGCTTAAAATCGCATTATTGCTGCTTTAATATCGTCGTGGTCGAGTGGATATAGCTAAATTTAATTTCCAATTTTGAAACTTATTGACGGCATAAATACTAATAATAACTGCTTCGCGTCTCTATTGAAACATTTAATTTAGCACATTGTAGTTCACGAAACAGCACGAATGCCACAGAATTGATTAGCTGCTAATAACTAAAACTGCACCGGTGATCACAACTAAATATTTTAGCTATTGTTTTAACTTTATTTTGATATTATTCGGGCTATCCCTTTAGACGTTAAAAATAACGGATTTGGGGAATATTTACATACAGTTGTCCACAAAATAATAGGAGTGCGATATTTTGACCAGTTTTGGCTATTTGTCTTTTGTTTATTTAATGTTTATTATTTTTTTATAAAAGCCTAGCTGGCTATACAACAAACACCATATAAATTCAGATTTTAAACTTTGTATAAAAATTATAAATATTTTGCAATTTTTCACCCAAATTTCAAACTTTTTAATCAGAATCTTTAGAAAAAATTCTGGTATGCAGTTTTGTAGCACATTCAATTCTAGTCTGGCAGTGTCCTCCATATAAAAGAAAATTGTCGACATACTTTGTATGGAAAAAACGTGAAACACCTTTAACCAAAAAAATTCTCAAAAATCAACGGAATTTTTTAGCCGCTTGAAACTCGCACTTCTTCAGACTAGAATTGAATGTGCTATAAAACTGCATACCAGAATTTTTTCTAAAGATTCTGATTAAAAAGTTTGAAATTTGGGTGAAAAATTGCAAAATTTTTATAATTTTTATACAAAGTTTAAAATCTGAATTTATATGGTGTTTGTTGTATAGCCAGCTAGGCTTTTATAAAAAAAGGAACAGTCCAGCTCCTTCGTCTTGGCCTGCAGGCTGTATCGGAGATACAGCCGCTAAATTTAAACGTAGAATACGTGGTATGGTTAAGAGAATATCCAAGTAAAAAAAACAAAAGCACACACTAAGCAAAAAATATCGATAACAAAAGCGATAATAATATCGGTAGCAAAATCGATAAAAACATCGATAAAGAAATCGATGAAAATATTGATATCAAAACCGAAAAAATATCGAAAGCAAAATCGATAGCAAAATCGATA